CATGATTCGCCGCAACAACGGGCAAGCCCGGATCGGCCTTTTATCCAATAAATACATCCCTTCCAGAAGTCGGGATATGCTGCACGTATTAGCTCTAGAATTACCACGGTTATCCGAGTGGTAAGGAGACCACCAAATAAATGATGAYTGATTTAATGAGCCATTCGCAGTTTCACAGTGCAAAGTGTTCACACTTAGACGTGCAAACACTTCAACCGTCCTCGTGCACTCAAGTCCAATATAAACTACTTCGCACTCATGTAATCAAAGTTTGCAAATTTCACGTATCACCACTTTGAAACTGGCAGTGGCGGGATGGGGATGGTGGCTTCATCGGGATGATTGGCAACATTGTACTTATGCGCGATATATTTTAATTTATGTTGATTTTTTGCTTGCGATCAATCTAACAATATTCTGTCAAAAATTTGCCACTTCCCTTAACATCGCTGATGTAGTGAATGGAAATTCGAGCATTCGTGTTGAAATTTCGGTCGTAGTGAAGGTTGCGTGATAAGTTTACAATATTGTATATATGTGCGATTTAAGGATCTTCAGAACGGTACTTTTCTGCATGACCATTGGCCATTAGGGCGGAGGGCAATATGCATCCCTTTTATGCTTGCACAGGTCCCTCGTGTACTCGTGCTTGCACAGGTCCCGAGGTGAGGCCCTTACTCCCATGAACGACATGGCAGTTTTGTTCAGGAAAAAAAATGAAACAAGAAAACAGCTCTCTGTTGGACGGATTTTTATGATGGGAAATACTGCCCTCTCTCCAATCCATAGCCCTGCACACGTATCCGGACCTCACTGTAAATCATATACATAGTAATTGAGGTATGTATGAGGGCTATAATATGTTCCGATACACTTTGCAACATGGTGCCTTGGAGGCGGCCTATTGGTCGTGGACGACCTATAAAGGAAATGGCAGTTGGACAGACTGTCATGAGGGAAGAGACTAGCTTGGCTGCTCCGTAACCCTGTACTGGTATCTGGACCTCACATCATAGCATGTGCATTGTAATCCAGGTATGTACGACGACTTAAAAGATTTCCCGATACAGTTTGGAACGTTGCATTGGAGGCAGCCCGTTGGACGTAGAGGACATAACGGGATAGCAGGGTTTTTTTTTTTTTTTTTTTTTTTTTTTTTTTTTTTTTTTCGGGATGCCAGTTTGACAGACACTCATGATATGGTCGTGGAGTAGGCACCCGATTTCTTTTCTGTATATTTTATTTTTCTGGAGTGGACTGATCCTCCATTTACGTGGGACATCCGCAAAAAAGGGAAGGATGGCCCCCACACATGTCAGCTCCCACTTCACCCAATGCTTCATTCGTGGCCGTTGATCTTCATAATCAAAGGTCACAAATCGAAACTTTGCATAAGTAGGGCATGTCCCTCGGCGGCAGGGGGGACATAAAAACAAGAAAAAGATAAAAGACGAACAACACTCACTTTCCTCACATAGTGGCCAGATACATTCCTAAAGGCACTGGTGTAACTTCCATCTTCCTGAGGGTCTTGCCCGACGTCCCGAGATTCTAAACTCGGTTTTTTCACATTTCGAGAGTCGTGTGACGGGGTCCTTTTTTTTTTTTTTTTTTTTTTTTTT